GTTTCTGACCCTGGTGCCAACCAACATTATATTGACAAAAAAAAAGATATCTTGATATTTTCTGGGATTTTATCGATAATGATAATTAGATAATATTTTGCTGAGTGTTATTATGCTGGTATCTTAAGGATTGCTGTGGACAGCTGACTCTTTTAAATTTTTGATATTCTTCATATTCTGTGTGGTCAGTTCACAGCAGTGATATAAATGAATCTTTTCTAATAAGTTTCAGTTGATTTTTTATCTTTTATGGGCATTTTTACCTACATAAAGCCATTTTTCTAAAATTGTTCATTATCCTTTGAGTCAAATTCTTACATTTAATCAGTCATTTAGAATAATAAGACATTTGGGCTGTTACCAAACAAATTAAATCAGTATCAACAAAATCCATCTTTGCAATGCAAAGAAAACACAGAAGCTGCATCCGTTAGCGAAGGGAACATGCGATGGTCACTTCACGGAAGTGACTTCAGTTTGTGATCATGTGATCTTCAGTTAGGAGATCTTGCGACGAATTTTAAAGCAAAGTTGTGGTTGATTTCGTTTTATTTATTGGTTGATTTTTAGTTGTGGAGGAAAGTTGTGAAACGCGACCGTTGCAACTAATTTTGTCAGTTCTAGGGGTGTGCGATATTGACAAAATAATATCAATATTTTCTGGGATTTTATCAATAAAGATAAGTAGATGATATTTTGCCGAGTGTGTTATTGTGCTGATATCTTAAGGACTACTGTGGACAGCTGAGCTGATTCCTTAAATTTTTGATATTCTTCATATTCTGTGTGGTCAGTTCACAGCAGTGATATAAATGAATCTTTTCTAATAAGTTTCAGTTGATTTTTTATCTTTTATGGGCATTTTTACCTACATAAAGCCATTTTTCTAAAATTGTTCATTATCCTTTGAGTCAAATTCTTACATTTAATCAGTCATTTAGAATAATAAGACATTTGGGCTGTTACCAAACAAATTAAATCAGTATCAACAAAATCCATCTTTGCAATGCAAAGAAAACACAGAAGCTGCATCTGAAGTGGCACACTGTTTAATGTAGGACATGAATGCATTTAACCTGCAGTTACACATGCAGACAAAATATTTTGATATATAAGACATAAATTATTGAATAGCCTACTCATATTTGAAATTATATATATATATATATATATATATATATATATATATATGTATGTAAAATATGAAATTAAAACCACCAGTAGGTGGCAACAAGTCACTGTTAATAAGTGAGTCATTGTGATTGAACCGAATCATTTAAACAGTTGATTCATTCAGGAACGAAATGTTGCTCAGAGGCACAAAACTGTTCTGTGGTGGCTGTGTTTGGAATTATTTTTGATGTCGAAATAGAGCAAAAACAGGCAATATGGTGTCTAAAACGTAAGTCTCTTAATTAACTTCTTGTTTATTGAACTGTTGTTAAAAAAAAATCTATATGTAATCGTGCTGATTTTTGGAGGGAAAAAATTGCACTTTTCATGTGATGTTTGATTAACTATATAAAGTAATATAAATGTATACATTTTCTGTCCCTATATCTTCTATATTTCTTGAGCATTCTAAATGCATTTAAATACTGAATAACACAGTGAAAGAAGGCACTCTAGCACTACTAGACTTCACAGCACTCTGTGAAGCGTCAAGCTTCATTTGAACCACCAACTAGGGATGGGCGATACCACTTATTTTGTTTTCGATACGATACCGATATTTTTCAAGGCAGTGTGTGGTAAGTAGTACTGCCGCTCCATAGTATAAACAGAGTACGTGCGATCGCGAATCTCGAAAGTGAAACTATAAAGCAATCGGGAGGCGGGGATCACGATGCCGGCTCAACATCGTGATGTCTATCAGCCATCGGCGATGGCATCGTCTATCGGCCCAACACAGGTTAAAACAACAATTACGATATTCTCGCAGACGATATATATCGCACACCCTGCACCACTGTCTTTTTGGCTAATTTGTGCAAAACCTTTTGCTAAACTGTCAAAGCTTCATTTTAACCACCAATGCAACAATGCAAGTATTTACCTTAACTCTACATGCTTGCGAAGGGTTGATGTCGAGATTTTATAAGCTGCTAGTTTGGTCTCCCTAGGCAAACACAGCTTACACTGCATAATAGAGCTTAAAAGTCCCATATTGAACACCTTTCTGGAGTTTTATTTTAGGCTTTGATGTCCTTAAGACTATGTATATGCAGTATAAGTACCAAAAACCATCTCAATATATCACGGCCAGGCCAACCACAGGTAACTAGGGTCAGCCGACGTCACAGCGCTAGCTGAAGGCAGTAAAACAAAGGGGAAACTGGAGGCGGCCCATTTAAATCAGCGCAGATTCGGCTACATAAGGAGCTTAAAATATCATCTTGTTGTGATGTTGGGTGCCAGAATCGATGTAATACAGCCTCAAATTAGAAATTTGATCGCATATCTGCTGCCACTGCCAGACAAAAAAACGACGACAGCTGTGGTTAAACGCGATAAAATGAGCAGACTGGACAGAAACGATCGTCAAAAATGCTCGCTTTTGCAGCTCACACTTCTTATCAGAATAGGTTCAATAAAGTATTGTCTTTTGTTGTTATGGGAGCGTCTACAGATTTCTTGCCATATGTCTATGTTTCTTGCATCTCACGACTATGTCGTGTATGAAATAATGTCTGTGTGCATGTGTGTAAAACAACAAACTGACGATTTATATATATGTATATACATCTTCATCATGACTAGATAGACACGGTGAGTTTGTCTTTACTATACACGTTAGATGTGATCCACCTCATAGTAACAGTCCTGTCAGATCGTCCATCCGTTGAGTAAGAGTGTAACGTTACAGGTCGGCCGATCTGGTTTCGTGGTTAAAGTTAACCTTTACGACATGTTTCCGTGTTGTCGTTGCTCAGCAATAGCATGGACGCGATGTTGTCTGGGGGTTTGACAAAAGGAGAGTGGGACGGTGGGCGGTGCTCGGGGTGGTGACTGCAGGCGGTGACTGTGTAGTTCTGACGTCAACTTTTTACGGAAGTCACAACGGTTCGTGAAAAATCACAGCTACTTTATGCAGGCTGTGTGCATTTTACTGTGGACTGGCTGTTTTGAAACTTATATGGTAGTTACATAGCACCTAGACCTCAGTTATCAAGAAAAACAGTTTTGACAATATGGGACCTTTAAATATGGCCAGGGGTTCACTTCATTTCCTTCGAGTTCAACTTCAGCAGAATACGACGGGGTTTCATTTTCTGCTGGGTCTGCACCATAACGCCTGTCTTGTCCGTCTCCATCTTTCTTGTGATTTTAGCCCCAGTTTGTTCTCCTGCCCATTATTTACTGCAGTAGTTTCGAGGGTGCGTTTTTCTTTTACTCAGTAATTAATGTGTTTTAAAATGTAGCGAAGTACAATACTTCAAAAAGTATATATATACTTAAGTAAAAGTAAAATTACAGATTTTAAAAATTTAAAATGAAAAAAAGTAGAATTACTCAAAAAAGCTACTCAATTACAGTGACGCGAGTAAATGTAATTAGTTACTTTCCACCTCTGTGACTCAGTCCTTTTACATATTAGCAAGCCTTCATTGGAAGTCAGATTTCATAAGGTACACTCTTAAAATTCTTCCCCGCGATGCCATAGAAGAACCATTCAGTCAAAGGTTCTTTAAAGAACCATCTCTTACCCTTTTATAATCTGAAAAACCTAATCGCCACAAAGAACCTTTTGTGAAACAGAAAGGTTCTTCAGATGTTAAAGGTTCTTTATGGAACCATTTAGACAAAAAAGGTTATTCTATGGCATCTTGTAGCACCTTACTCCTAGCTGGGTAAAAGCAATTCAGGGTCAAAGGTCACCTTTTTTATGTGCTTGGTCCAGCAGAGATTTCAGATCATTCTCAGTGCCTACTGCAGATTTAACTGAAACCAGATCTAGTGTATCCAGCTGGTCTGCTTGCACAGTGTGTATCGGACCCAGAATAAGACCCTTCACCTTCATCTGGGTCAGATAGTCCAGCTTTTCCTCCACTCCTACAGAGAATGAGAGAAAGAGAAAATATTGCACTGATACCATCATGAACCCTCAGCTGTTTTTACATTATGATCATTATGAAATAAAAACTTGAGCAGATATTTGACATATTTGACATATTTGAGTAATCTGCAATGACTACATGAAGTGCTAATATATAAGAATTGAAAAGTTCAACAAATGTTTTGGCTACTGCATGTCTGTATACAGTATGTGCAGTTTGCAGTTCTGTAAAATACTGAAAAACAAGGCTACTGATCTAAAAAATGACAAATAGAATAATAGAATTGAAAACCTCTAAAAGCCTAAAATCTTTAATTAGGTAATTTTTCTAAGGCTTTAAAATTGTAATTCAAATAATAAACAGGTGTGGACAAAAAAAAAAAATCCACCTTTCAGTCCCTTTTCAGAGAATTGATTCACGTCAGATATCTGGTACAGAGGACCTTCGTTCCACCAGTTCATCTCAGGAATGGGTTTACAGCGTGGGGCCTGTACTATGATTACTATTGCTCCAGCTAACATGCCAGCCCAGCCGAGCAGGAACAAAGCCAGCAAAGCCCTACGCGTCTGAACCCACCTGCAGAAAATATGCAAATCTATAAGAGACAGACAGACTGTCGAATGTTTCATTTTAATTTCATAATCCTCGTGTAGGTTGCCTACCCAGCAGTACTGGTGATTTTCATTAACTCGTCTTTGGAGAGGCCAGTATACTTCACTCCAGCGTTCTCTGGGACGGTGACCTTCACGCAGCCATTTTTTTGAGTTTCTCGGGTCATTAGCTGTGTTTCCTGACCCACCTCATTCAGTTCTATGTCCTTCATTTCTCTTTATGTACAGACGGCCTTTTAAAATACTGGATTAAAACAGATTCAAAAAGCAAAAACTAGTGAACAGATTCATTACATCTGGAAACATATGGTTTATGGTTAAAAAGTTTCATTAACTCGTCTTTGGAGAGGCCAGTATACTTCACTCCAGCGTTCTCTGGGACGGTGACCTTCACGCAGCCATTTTTTTGAGTTTCTCGGGTCATTAGCTGTGTTTCCTGACCCACCTCATTCAGTTCTATGTCCTTCATTTCTCTTTATGTACAGACGGCCTTTTAAAATACTGGATTAAAACAGATTAAAAAAGCAAAAACTAGTGAACAGATTCATTACATCTGGAAACATATGGTTTATTGTTAAAAAGTATGCCATAAAAGGTTAGTAATAAAGAGACCTCTTTTTTTAAATAATACAAAAAAGCAACATAGAATGATCGTAAACCTAAGGTCACAATAGCTGCTGCTGTCATAGTAATAGTATTAACTAAGTTACAGTAGCTTGATATAAAATGTCAACATGTATAGAATAAAACTTCAATTAACAATAAATCAATAATTCAAAAACAAAAATATCTAAAGAACGCACTGTTAAATACCTGTCCAGAGTTGAGGTGAGGTGTCCTCTGTGCTGTCGGGCAGAAAATAGAGTACAGTTTGGTGGTCAGTTCACTTTTATAAAAAGGACTTCATCTGTTCCCGCCCCTAACAGCCAACATACAGTACTGGAGGAGTAACAGTAGAGAAAGTCATAGATTTCTGCAACCAAACAAAATAAATCATCACACTCTAAAAAATGCTGGGTTATATTCAACCCAGCATTTATTAGAGTGCATGCTTGATTAATTATACTGTTACCTTTTTAGGCATGTGTAGAAAATCAAAGTATTTTCATTGGTCCCTAAAGAAGGAAAATGTCATATTTTTACATATCAGCACAGTTTTTTAAATAAAGTATACACTTTATATACCCAAAAGTTGGGTTAGTCCATTTTTGACCCAAGGTTGGGTTGAAACAACCCAGCATTTTTTAGAGTGTATGCATATACATTCATAGAGTATTTAGGCTATATGTTTAATCAAAATGACCCTTGAAAAGCACTTTTGTAATAAAAACAATGAATGCAGAATAACTACAAAAGTCACAGTGCTAACCTATTCCCACAAACACTTGCTTTCAATGCACTCAACACCCAAGATAGAACCAGACACGCAGAGCTGTATTTTTTTTCTGTTACGGGAAGGTGTAACCAACACAACTGTAAAGCTCTCAAAACGATCTCAAAGACACATCTTCCCTGCATGCTATTCTGTCTCCTTCCCTCAGTTTAAGATGAACAATGCCAGCTGAGGGGAAGAGGAAGAGTCTGAGGAGAGTGGTTTGTTTTCTCGGCGCTCTGCATGAGGTCCTGGGGTTCACAGATGCTCTGCAGGGGTCTGGGTGGACCTTCCTAAGCCTGTCTGATCCTGCTCTCCAGAAACTCCTTCAAAGACATGAAAAAAATATGACAGACCACAACCAGATGGAACTGGTTTTATCTATTTTTCCCCCCAAGCGTGTTTATTGTTACTGTTGTAGGCTTTGAGGAGTCAGGATTGTATTGTTTGAGAAGATGCAGAATTGCTCTTCATTCCAATGCACTGTAAGAACTGTGTGTGTGCTTGAATAATGTTTTTGGAGACAATTTGAATTCCTCACAGAACATTTCAGTGAACCGTTTTAAAAATAACAATTTTCTTAGTGTGGACAAGTAGACAGATATAAATGTCCTTTTTCTATTACACAGAGTCTTTTGTGTATTGGAAAGGTTCCATGGATGTTAAGGGATCTTCATGGAACCATCGAAGAAAATAAAGAACCTTTATTTTTATGAGTGTTGTATGAATCGTGATGCAATATAATAGTCAAAATCTGTTTTGAACTATTTTATCGAATACATTTGTTGGCAAAAACAAGTCTCCGTGTAAAAACACAAATGAAGTAGGCTAAGTGACAGACAAAATACGGTGTGATATAAAGTTTTCCATGTAGATATTGCACCTACAAGACAACACATGTAGGCTAGTACTCAGAAGTACTGTACAGTAAATTATTGAAATAAATAGGCATTTGTGTTTATATAATATGGCTCTATAACAATTATTCTGGGGGTTTTAGGCATAAAAATATCATTAATATTTTTGCATTGTTACAAAAAAGTTGCTGATTTGTAAAAACCAGCTTAAAACGTTTATAGACTTTTTTTAGTTGGCGGATTAATGTGCAAAATATAATTATGGGCTTGCATGTTGAGGACATAAAGTGCCCTCTAGTGGCAGTTTGTGAATGAACTGAACACCTAGAACCTTTCCATCATCTTTTTGTGAGAAACACTTATCTTTTTTGTGTGATTGTTTGATGAATACAACTTTTAAAAGAACAACATTTATTTAAAATAGAAACTGGATTTTTTTTTTTGTAACAATATAAGTCTTTACTATCAATTTTGATTGATTTAATGCATTGATTTTATACTTGCTAAATAATAGTACTAATTTCTTTCCAATAGATAGACACTTTATAGGTTAAAATGCTTCTCATTTTTTTAGGAATTGTGTCCTAAAACAACAAATAATTAAATGAGTTCAAGAGGGAACAATTTTCTTTTGATATACTATAAGCATTAACTGCACCAGTGCATAAAGTGGATACAATTTCACACAAAACATATCTTCAGTAGCAATTTTATTTATTATTATATCAGGGGCTTTAGATCTACATGTCTCTATATGGAAATCAACTCCTGTCCTGACAACTCTTTCATATAGCTTTAAAGTTAGTGCTCCTAAAAGTATCCCTATTAGAGAATACAATTAAAACGATAAACTATTCAACTCAAAAGACAAAGTATTTCCAAGCCTGTGCACAGTATTGAAACTCATCAGAGACACTAAGGACTGTCTGTGTCCATGTGTCTAGCCAGGAAAAGCATAAGACAACAGAACAGCTTGTTTGGGCCCAAGCTCTAACTTCTCTACTGACACCTTACTATCCACAGCTAGATTCTCTGTGTCTGTGGAAGCACGGACCCGAGCCTCAGCCGGCAGGTCGCTATAGGTCAGTGTCATGGTAACAGAATCATTTCCCCAGTTTAAGGCCACCAGGAAACGTTCGCTCTGGTCCCAGAGGCGGAGAAATGCTAATGAAGTGGGTGAACTGTGAAGGCTGATATATTCTCCATGCAGAAGAGATCGCTCTTTTCCTTTCAGATCACTGAGTGCTTTAAAGAAGTCACGCACTGCGGTACGTTCCTCCTGTACAGTCTGAGTCAAAAGAACGAAAGAAAGAAACAGAGTGTATGTGTTTTTAAAATGTGCAATTACAAGAGTGATATATATATATATAGCAATGTGAAAATGTGAGAATGAAAATGTACCTTTGCTGTTGCATTGTCATCATCTGCTTGACTTTCCAAGTCCCACATTGCTTCAACTTTCTCCTGAATAGGTGATATTATGTCAGCTTACCAATTTATCGACATCTTAATTTTCATTTTAATTTGCTGTACTCACCCCAGCCTTCAGTCCGACCTCATCTCCAGCGTTGAACACAGGTGTGCCCGGGAGGGTGAACAGCAGCATTTGATAGAGTCTTATGGGCGCTGCTGGAGTTCTGGAAGCCAGAGAACCCAGAGTCCGTCCACTCAGACTCCAGCCCAGACTCGTCTGCAGGTGATCAACGTAGAGTATCTGTACCACCTGGGCCTGTCTTATGCCGGGCTCAGCCGGATCAGGCAGTTCAGTCAGGAGCAGGTCAACACTGGACTGGTTCAGCAGATGAGAGGCATCATCCGCAGAGAGACCCGTGACTGATCCCATCAGAGCTCTGAAAGTCATGAGGAGAAAGAGATTGAAACATCTGAGTGCCCTGAAATCAAATTCTGTCTAACATTTGTATTCACTAGCTGTGATCAGTACACCAATCTGGCCACCACGTGTCTCTGTTCTACTAAACAAATGTCCTCCCTACAAATTCCACTGTCTACCACCCCATACCTTTTTTTGGTCCCATCAGTTTTGTTGAATATGCCTTGAACAGACGGCCAGGCTTCTGTGTTTGCAATGTCGTTCAGATGAGATAGGAAGATGCCGTCCACCCCCTTATTGAGCCAGTATACACAAGCTTCCTACAAAAAACACATAGAATGGAACAAATAAATCAGTATATGGCTAAACACTGATTAATACAAAATGTTATAAATAATAGTAAAACATACTTTCAATGACACCATCATTCAAAAGTTTGCGGTTGGTAAGAATTATTTAAAAGAATCGCTGTTCACGAAGGCTGCATATATTTGGTCAAAAACAGAGTAAAAACAATAATATTGTGAAAAAATATTACAATGTAAATGAACTGTTTTCTATTTGAAAATATTTTACAATGTAATTTATTAAGCTGAATTTTCAGCAGGCATTACTTCAGTCTTCTGTCACATGATCCTTCAGAAATCATTCTAACATGCTGATTTAGTGCTCAAGAAACATTTCTTATAATTAATATCGAAAGTGTTTGTAAGGCTTAATATTGTTGTGTAAACTGTGATACACTTTCCTGATTTTTTTTTTTAGGAATAGTGTTCAAATATTCAAAAGAACATTTTTTGTAACAATTTAAAAGCCTGTACTGACATTTATGATCAATTTCACGTTTTCTTTGCTGAATACGATTTCTTTAAAAAATATTACAGTGCTAATATCAGAAGTATTTTTTCACTCTAATATCAGGAGATAAGTTCTTTCTTACTTTGGCCCTTTTACACATCTCTAGATCTTTTTGTCTTTTCTCTCACTAACTGACCTTCAATATATCAGCACTTACTTTGAGTCGCTCAGCAACAGAAGCAGCATTGTTGAACCAGGCTGAAACTCCCTCATAATTGGGTGTTACATCCAGCACTATGGAGATTCCTGAGAGGGAGAGAGGAAAACACGTAGAAAGAGGGGGAAAGGCAGAGGGTAGAGTCAACAAACCAGAAGGCTGTTAAATGATCTTTCTGGACTTTATCTTTCCTGAAAAAAACAAAAGCCTAACGTTTGCCTTGTATGAAGCCTTTATTTGAAGGCATATGGCTTTATTTACTGGAAACCACAGGGATGTTCCTGCTAAACCAACACAACTGTGATTGAGTTAGTGAATCAGTTCCAAGCCAGTCCTATATATTGTTGCTAAAATTATATAATGAATACAATATGTGCCATAAAATAGTTTGTGAGGTGACTATTTTCTAGGATATGTTAGTTTGTTTTGATATACTTTAAATTTTATGTAAAGAAATAGTTATAAATAGAGTTAAAAAATGATATTCACTATAGGAAAAAAGGCAGGAGGTCAGAGTTTAAACTGACAGCTCACTGCTATTTCAGACAGCCTTCCCTTAAAACAGAGCAACTTAACGATCGGTCTATCCAGTGACCTATTTCGTCATTTCAAAATAGGTCACTGGATTTGTGACAGGGTTGATGTTTTCTTTTGAAAGCCTTAAAAACAACCAAGCGAGGTCACCTTTTCTATGTGCTCGGTCCAACAGAGAAATCAGCTGGCTCTCAGAGCCAAATTCGGGGTTAATGGAAGTTAGTTCCAGTGTGCTTGACTGGTCTGCTTGCACAGTGTGTATCGGACCCAAAACAAGCCCCTTCACCTTCATCTGGTTGATATAATCTAGCTTCTCCTCCACTCCTACAGACAGAATAAAAGACAAAGAGTTAAGAACAAGAGGAAGTGAGTGAGAGATCATCATCAGTGCTTCCTTTTTCTCCAGCTACAGAGTTCAGGGTGTTCTTTTAATTATTAATCTGCTTTGATTGTTTAACCACAGTACTGTGCGTGCACACCTGAAGATATCAGGGTTTAAGGTCACTGTACTTGATAATCTTAATCTATAATGTAGATTGTCTACAGTATTTGTGTGAGAGTGCGAACACTTGTGCAATATCGTAACTACAAACTCAGCCAAAAGTTGTGGTAACAGCAGAAATGTGATGAGAGGGAGGAATCTTGCATAGATCAACACATGCTTCCTCATATGAGCGAGTCACAAGACAGCCAGTCAGTTTTGGCTTAGCTACATCATCCGTCTGATATTTTTCCTAGGGTTTTCCTAATGTTATCGTAGTGAAGAGCTAAAATACTGAGAATTTAATGTAGGCTTGACCCCTGTTGTGAATGTCTGCAAATTTTATCAAGTACGTCAAAAGTTGAGAGATGCTGGCAAGATGTTTTCCCATTTTTGTTTCAATGATTAACACAAATATAAGCAATCACCTTTTAGTCCATTTTCAGAGAATTCATTCACGTCAGATATCTGGTACAGAGGACCTTCGTTCCACCAGTTCATCTCAGGAATGGGTTTACAGCGTAGACAGACAGACGGACGGACAGACAGACAGACGGACGGACAGACAGACAGACGGATAAACAGATAGACAGACGGACAGAGAGACAGACAGACAGACAGACGGATAAACAGATCAGACAGACAGACATCGTACCCAGCTGTACCGGCGACTTTCATTAACTCCTCTTTGGAGAGGCCAGTAAATTTGACTTCGGTGTCCTCCGGCACTTTAACCTTTACGCAGCCGTTTTTTTTGGTGCCTGTCGTAAATCAAGACAGGACAAAAATTTACATATGGGGCATATTTTATTTCGGTTTAATTTAAGGCTAAATATAGGCCTATGAGATATAGAACCATAACATTTTGAAAGCGTCTTAAATTTGTTTGCAGAAGATATCATATTATTTTAAAGGGTTAGTTCACCCAAAAATAAAAATTCTATCATGAATTACTCACCCTCGTGTCGTTCCAAACCCGTATGAATTCTGAAAATTACTCACCCTCGTGTCGTTCTAAATCCGTAAGACCTCCATTCATCTTCGGAACACAAATTAAGATATTTTTGATGGAATCTGAGAGCTGTCTGACCCTCCCATAGACAGCAATGCAACAAAAAATGTTCCCAAATCCAGAAACGTAGCAAGGAGATCTGTAAAATAATCCATGTGACATCAGGGGTTCAACCGTAATTTTACGAAGATACGAGAATAATTGTGCGCAAAAGAAAAGAAAATAATTACTTTATTCAACAATTCATCTCCTCCGCTTCACCCTGGTGCCATTTTGGAGAATATCAGCTGGACGTAAACAGCATATGCTGTTCTTTTCGTTCAGATCAAATCACAACAATTTAGGAAACAGATCCGGCGTGAAGCAGCTGACACAGAACAGCATAGGCTGTTTACGTCCAGCTGATACTCTCCAAAATGGCACAAGGGTGAAGCGGAGGCGACGAATTGTTGAATAAAGTCGTTATTTTTTTTCTCGTAGCTTCGTAAAATTACGGTTGAACCCCTGATGTCACATGGATTATTTTACAGATCTCCTTGCTACGTTTCTGGACTTGGGAACATTTCAGTTAATTTGTGTTCCGAAGATGAACGAAGGTGTTACGGGTTTGAAACGACATGGGTGAGTAATTACCGTATTGACCCGAATATAAGACGATGTTTTTTTCTTGGAAATACATCTGAAAAAAACGCGGTCGTCTTATATTCAGGGTCTAGACTTTGACATGTCAATAATACACCCACAACAATAGGTGGCGCCAAATACACATAAAACGAGTGTGCCATGAAATACGTAATGTAATGCGTGTTGTAAAGATCGCGAGTTAAAACAAAAGAAAAAGAAAACCTTACAGCTGCATGAGTCGTGACTGTCACGTTAGCCTGATGGGACCAAACTCCCTTTGTGATTTTAAAACGTAAGACAGTACCCAGATTTGAAGACTACAGTAAGATTTAACTTACTGTTAATAAGATTTTGGTAGGCTACTATTAGATGGATAGCCTAAATGTCCTAATTCAGATGGGCTACCTGTTTTTTTTTTTTAATGGTATATCAAAAAGTGTATATTTTTTTAATGTGATTGTTGGTACATTTTACCAGTGTTTACCATACTTTCAAAACAACAATTAAAATAGGAAAAATATGCAATATGAAAATAATTGAAGACAAAATGTGTTTTACTGAGAAAAAACAAGATTTGGTTTTTAAAAAGCCTTTTTCCCAAAAGGTACATCTGGAAAAAGGGGGGTCGTCTTATATTCGGGTCAATACGGTAATTACAGAATTTTCATGTTTGGGTGAACTATCCCTTTAAGTCAAGTCTGCTTTATTGTCAATTCTTCCACATGTACAGCACATACACACAGAGAATTGAAATTGCGTTACTCTCA